AGTTAACCAACTTAGTGGTTACAAATCAGTCTACAAATAGTATCTCATCTCTATTATTATGTGTTGTATTTTTTTGTTCTTTTCTACATAGTTGATAAGGATCTGTTGGTTTTTTTCTCTTATGTGTTTTTAAATCTTATTTCGAATAAATGCTTATGGTTAGGCTGCGACAACCGAATATCAATAGTTTTTACGATCACCTCAGTATAATTATTAATTAATTATAAGTTTTTAATACTAAATAAAATAAAATAGATACCTAACTCATCTCTTTGTATAAATGTAAACCGCGTATCTTCTTTTCTGATAACTTATATTAAGATGTCAAAGACTAACTCAAAAATTTAATAAAGTCATTCTTGAAGATAGGATTAAATATCGTTATATTAATAAACACTGGATACCGAGTCACATTAATGGTCTATATCTGGAGATAGATAATACAACACAGGCTCTATCAAGATACGTATGACTTCAAACTTCATACCAATAGGCAAACATTTACGTACTATGGAAATTCATGTAAAAAATAGCAAGTCATGTGAAACTACGGTCAATATAAAGTCGTGGTGGGACTAAGTGTATCATAACTACATCATGACATTGTTTGACTTTTACAGGAAATGTAATGCCTCCACAAATTGGTCGCTTTTGGAAAGACCTTTCCAGGGTAAAATATTCATTCATTCAGATCATAAAGGTTTGTTATGATCGGAGATTTAGAATTTTTAAGACGGTGATATCCCTTTTACTTAATTGCTTTTTGAAAGCAAAGTAATATGGATTAACTTAGGTCACCAAGACCACGTAGAAAAAAAAGAGATCTACAACAAATTGTATTCCAATCATGGTAAGGCCTTCGGTTATACCTCTCATTCAATTGTCATATGCCTCAAGTATCTGGAGAATGAAAAGGGTATTCATGCTATTCCACACAAAAACATACCATTCAAGTCACTGGATTGCTGTGCAAAAGGACTGTTGAAATGAGGAATAGGAAACCGTCGTTCTCGTACACTAGGTGGCTTGTGAAGAGTTGTGTGCTTTAGGCAAGACAGTCTTACAAAGAAGCTTTTTGCAGGGCTATTGTCAAGATGAATGATCTTCAGACAGAGCATGACTGGACTATAACGACGTCATGAAGCTTCTTAATCGTTTTAATATTGTGTATACTCAATTTTCTTTAACATAAAGTCAGAACAATATTCAGAAGCCATAAGACAGTACGATCGTAAATAGTACACAAAACCACCTAAAACTCCAATAGAGATCAAAAAACCACTTACGTCAACCACTGTAAATATGGACTCCAAGAAAAAAAGACTAACACATAATTTTTAATAGCCTATCATGTCAGAGAAGAATATCATACTGTTGTGAAGAATTAAAATAATGTTTTGTTTTTACATGTATCTGAAGTATACTTTTGTTTATTTGAAAAACTTGTATGATAATTATCTGTCTTGTAAATGATTCTGGTGAGGGGCACTGTATGCCTTTAGTGTCTTTTGGTAAAAAAATGATGTAAGCTGTGTGCATTAAAGTTGTTTGGTGAAATTTTATGTAATTAGTTTTGGGTTTTGGAATCAGTTTTGATTAAGAGTTAGGTTTATAGCACAGTAAGTGAAGTTTTGGGGAGTCACATAGTCTCTTTAGTCCGGTATCAGAGAAACAACCTGATTGTGTAGCCTAAAACTGCGTACTTAGGCCTGAGTCTGATAGCTTTGGGGAAAGTGGAATAGTTTGTGCGAGTGGCTAATACATTATTTAAATCAATACATGGCCTCTCCGCCATGGTTTTAATTATACCAGCGTATCAATACAACAAAATGGAAACATTCTGAACTAATGGAATATGAAGTCATCTTCGTCTTCCTGACTGATAACAAACTCAGTCAATCCGGTATGGAAGTCAGCAAAACATTGCATACCTCTTGAAATTATTCATAATACTAGTTGAATCAAGTCGTAATGAAGAAGTCCCATAATAAGCAAGCAGATAACTAGGAAACCCAAATTCGAATTCTGGCCCCAACCATTATAAACAATCCTTCTCAGAACTTCCCTAAAGAAAGCGACAGAATAGCAGCCGAAATGTATGATATAAGCTAGTTAGTAATTAATGAAAGTACTTGAGGGTGCTCGAAAATAAAAATGTGGTAAAGATAGGCTTTAGAGTTTATTAATTTTTTAAAACTGATGATAATATTCTCTTTAATTTTTTATACATAACTCAGAAAACAGTCGATAACTTGAGTAAATTTTACAGTTTTTGCGAAATGACTATTACTAGGCTAGAGCTAGAAATGTTTTCTGAAAAAATAAGTCATGTTCATTCAAATCATTAAAAGAGTATGTAACAAACTTATCTGAAATAATATATTCATACACTCAGATCATAAAAATTTGTTCAGATCGGAGATTTAGAAGTTCCGAAACGGGAATATCCTTTGTACTTGTTTGCACTGGAAAGCAGAGAAATATGGATAACTCTGGTCACCAGAACCACTCAGAAAAAGACCTATAACAAATTGTACCCCAAATATGGTAAGAATAGTGTGATGTCTTATAACTAAATGGCTATTGCTAGGCTAAGGTTAGAAATGGCTCAGGACTTCCCTGTCCTTTCTGTTTAAGGGAGAGTGTGTACCGTGAATGAGGCGCGAGAAGTGAGTAGCCTGGTTTAGTTTGTATTTAAAGGCTAGGCTTCTCCTTTTATCTAAAATTTAAGCGGATTTAAGCTCTATTCGGGTTTTCAGATTATTAAGCTTTTAACCAGATTTCTAGAGACTTTTAGAGATTTAACCTTTAGATTTGTCGTTAGTTTAATAAATGATTATTTTAACATCCAACTTTTAGTTATTTTTTAGTATTATTATTTTGCACAGGGGGTTCACACTAAAATGGTGAGAGAGAGTCCAAATAAATGTACTCTTATACTATCTCTTTTCCCAGATCCACACATCCGTGTTTTGTTGTAGTTGTTGTTATTATTTTACTGTGTTTACTTAAATAAAGATTTTGATTTATATATATCGGGGTACTGTCGATTTCTTTGTAACTAGCTCAGTCAGAGTTAGAGAGGAACAAATCCATATTCCTCAATTTGACAGGCTCTACCCGTTTACTCGAATAGATCTCAGTGTAACTGAAGATACCACAACAGTTTATGAGGCTTAATATAATTTAGGCTATTTTTAAAAATCCAGACTGAGCATAGTCTAAATTCAGAAAATTTGAATTGTTTTTTAATCCAAACTAAGTTTATTGTAACTCTGGACAAATGTAGATGAAATAGAGTGGAAGTAGTATTGGATGAATACGGACAACTTCTGAGTACTTTAAAATATCATTTCAGTATTATTTGAGTTTTAAAACATTTTTTCCGTAAGTTTAACACGTTCAAATTATTATGAATGATTCACAGCAGAAATGTCGCCAAGTCTTTTATCATATTTTCATTTGTACAAATTAGGCCTTTAGGAACCTTTTACAGTCAATATTTGTTTATTTTTAATTAGATCTACTGTATTGCATAAGAATTCTACATTTTATTTTTGGTACAAAATATTAAATCGAATAAGTATAAATGTAAAACGGAAATTGCAGAAATAGATATCTTAGCCCATCACAAACTTCCTAAATCTTAATATTTTTATTTCACGTAATAAATTAAACATTATTGCTCAATAAGTGACAGAACATGTTCTTGCATGGGGTTTTGGAGTTCATTTAGCACATACTTAAGTACTTTTATTAAGTATATTGTAAATACCATGACGAAAAATACAACAGAGAAGTCTATCTTCTGAATATGAGTAACATTAAATTATGTATACACTTTCGAATACAAGTCAAACTATTTCTCCCCTAAAATAAACACTCATCAAGCCAAAAATGTTGCAAAACCTTTTTCATAATCTTTTTCTCAGTCTGTAATTTGCTATAAAAAGTTAGTAACATGCCTCCTCTTTAAAAGATCTAATTGTTTACAAGTTACTATGTATTTGCGTATTTGCAAATATGCACAAGGAATTATGGGAGCGACATTACAACCGTTATAATAAATAAATTGAAACTCAGAAATAAAATTCTTGTGAACAATAGGATTTAGCATTTAGCTGTCATTTAGTTACGTATATGTTTCAGAAATGTAACTATCCAATAATTAATAAATAAGG